TGCCCCAGCACCTGGAGGTGCAGCTCACGCTCTACAAACTCTTTAGGCTTGCATAGCACCTCCAAGCAATGGTGTGAGTAGCTGCCGGATGTAGTTCTGGGTCCAGGCACCCTAGAAAAGGGTGGGTACGGCCTAAGCAGGCCTGGGTGGGAATTTAGGGTTTAGGGTGTAAGGTGTAGCGTTTAGCCCAATGTAGGTAATATTTACAGACTTTGGGGCCCCATGTAGGTATTCTTGGTATACTTGGATCCCTACAGTACTGCCTAAAACCTCTTTGGGGTTTAGGGTGTTAGTTTGGGGTTTTGGGGTTTAGGGTTCAGGGTTTAGGGCTTAAGGTTTAGGGCTTAGGATTTTGGGGTTTATTTTCCGTCTTATTCTCCTTTATTCCTATAGAGCTCTTGTCTAATCGCTGTATAACCCTTGTATAAGCACTGGCCTGGGCATCATCCGAGGAAGTCGTTGCGCTTGCATGCAGCTCCAAGGCAGTCCGTGATCTACCCGGAACACCCCGAAGACAGCACGACATGGAACCGACAGGTCGGACAACGGGGCCTGCATGGGTGATTCCTGCGCATAGGCTAGATAAGCAACTGTACTAATGGATATTAAATGCATAATTGCAACTATTACTAGAACCATGATTGCCAGTAGTAAAACTATTCTTACCCTGTACTCTAGCATCTTGGCTTGTCATCCTGGCCACTCCACCCAACGCCATCAGGCATTTCACTCACGCTGCGAGCCTCAATGAGTAAGCAAAGGTTGCCTGTAGCCCCAACTACTCACAGCTTTATAGGGTCTACGTATTCGCTTCAGGATAAGTACTACCAAGCTTTGGGAATTGAGGTTACACGCGTGCCCTTTCTCTTTAAGTGCGGCGAGGGTGGTACAACAGATACTCGTCTTTCCAGCTGATGCCCAATTCGGGACTGCATCCTAGCAGGTTTTGCAACTAGAAGCTGACCGAATGCTGCTGCTTTTTGAGATTGAGGGGTCTAGGGTTTAGAGGAGGCCCTTGGACCTTACGATTTTCTGAAGTTCAGGCTGTTGGCTGGACCTTTGTGCTAAAATATGGCATCTGAGCTACTGTCTAAACTCCTAGTATCCCCCTAATAACCACTATAGTAGTCCCCTATATAATCTCCTATATAACCCCCTTTAAGGAGTTTAGACCCTAACCCTAAACCATATAACCATATATGATCCGATATTATCTCTATAACCCCTATATAACCACTATAGTAGTCCCCCTATATAATCTCCTATGACTATAGCTCAAAATCCCTATAACCCCCTAGATAATTCCAGTTTCCATTTCATGTTCCATATTCTCTTCCATTTGATTCTCCATTATTGGGGGTAATATAACCCTAAACCCTAAACCCTGAACCCTAAACCCCTAAACCCTAAACCCTTTATAACCCCCTATATAATCAGCTCATCTGGGTTGCGGCAAGAGCCCATGACCTCTGGGTAGCTCACCGGGGACAAGGCCCCTTCCAAGAAGGTATGGACAAGTCATGGAAATAGTATGGAGGTTACAACCCTCCACCCTGGCGGGCATCTTGGAAATCAGCTCGTGCATGAAATTCTTCCCAGTTTCCATTTAATGTTCCCTCTTTTCCAGTTGATTCCTCATTATTGGGACCAGCATCCCGAAACCCTCATCACGTCTAAACGGCTGCTGTCTCTAGCTTTCGAATTACAAACCCCACGCATGTGAGATGTACCCTAAACCCTAAACTCTGAACCCCTCACCCCATGTAGCAAAGCGCCAGGCAGCCCAGGAACGTTTGTTTGCGGCCACAGTCGGTATCCTCAAAGAAGCTGCGCATGGCATCTGAGGCCTCCCAAAATCCCCTCTCGGACGCTCTCATGGATCCATAATCATAACAACGATGAATCTTATTCGGGTTCCCAGTAATTACCACTTGTGCGATGATCAAGAGGACAGAACCAGCAAACAACCAGACAAACTGACAGCCAGACAAACAAAAATCATACCTACAAACTTACATACATACATACATACATACATACATGCATGCATGCATGCATGCATACATACATACATACATAGATAGCGTAACATAGCATAACATAGCATAACATAACATTGCGTTACGCCGCGTGATGTTACGTTACGTTACATCACATGCATACTTACATCCTTACATACTTACATACGTAGGTACATGTATCTATGTGTAGATATATGTATAGGAACCAACTTTTGGAGAGGGCCCAACTTCGCACAAGACACCATGGTTGTTCTTCTCTGTACTACAAAACATAGGCCCGTCGTCTTTATCACTATCCATCTTAGTACTGCTGTTATTAATCATTACCTTTACTACTACTACTACTACTACTACTACTGCGATTATTACCATTATCCCCAAGCCCTAAACCCTGGAGCTAAACATTACCATCCTAAACCCTAAACCTTAAACCCTAAGCCCCGAACGGTACTATTGTTATCTGTTCTATGGATATTGGTGCCAGATCTGCTTTGCCTCCTCACCAGGCTCAGGGCGGACAGCAACGAAGATTACACCTTGCCTTTTCTGGGCTTAGGGTTTAGGGGTTTAGGGTTTAAGGTTTAGGGTCCAGGGTTTAGGGTTTGGCCTTGGGTTTCAGAGTTCACGGTTTAGGGTTTAGCGCATGGAGTTTAAGGTTTGGGACTCTCGGCAAAAGGGTCAAAGCATCCAAGGATTGTAGTTTCCATTAATAGGTGGAGCCCAATATGAACACCAAACTACTACTCTCGTTACGCCGACCCCAATTTGGGAACCCCCCCCATATCGGGGCTTAACCTTTTTCAAGCTTCAGGATAGTTCATGGGGACGATTAAGTAGGATGACGACTCGGATAACAAGAGCTATCACTAGGTACTACCCAAGGTTACCACGCATCTTCGGGTTCAGGGCTTACCCTAAACCCTAACCCTTAACCCCTACACCCTAACCCAACGTTGGGCACAACTCAACCAATCTCCCCACTTGTGAGCCCCAAGTAGTCCGGATATGAGCTATAGTCTAAACTCGTAATATCCCCCTTAAAAATCCTATAGTGTGGGGTTTAGGGTCTAAACTCCTAGTATGCCCTTCTAAAAGACCAAAATGCTCCCCTATTCAAGGAATTTTCACTATAACTCATATGGAAATTAGAACTTCAGCTACCCTGCCTAAACCCTAAACCCTCAACGGCACAATACAAACCCCAAAGTACTATACAAATGTTTGAGCAGCCTTTTTCTATGAGCTGTGCTTGAATGCAACTCTTGCTTGAAAGGCCCTCCAAGTCTAAGTCCCAGACTCCGTAGTCATAGTCCCCTTAAGTAGATAGCATATGGTGTATAAGGGGATCTTATTATAACATACCCGAAGCCATATTCTATCTACTTAAGGGGGACTATAAGAGTTGAGGGCCGAGCCATTTCTCAAATCCGTGGAGGCCCCTCAAATATTGACTCAGAGGCCGCCGAGCAACAGACACTGTATGCGCACTACA